GCAGTGGGGCGAGGAGGAGGGAAGGAAGGCTGTCCAGATTTGGAGGCCACAGGGAGGAGCAGAGGAAAAGGGTAGCAATGCCTCGGCGTGTAGTTAGTGAGCTTCTGTTCTTGACACAGTGGCGGGAGAAGCCAAGCATCACTCCTGGCTTCCTCCCACTGCGTGTTAGGTACTGATCCTGCAGCCTAGAGCGCGGCGAGAGCTGCAGCAGATCTCTTGTCGAAGCCAGACCAGCAGCTGGAGGCTGCACTGAACGGGGCCGAGGGGCATCTCCATCTCTGCCGGTGGATTGTGTTTTCAGTGAACAGGCATTGAGCTATAGTGAGTGGAAGGAGGCATGAAAAGACCTAGGTGAGATGCATGCCGTTTTTCAATTTTGAAAAAGATCACTGGCAGTATTTGTTTAATATTTCTAATATTAATTTCTTCAATCATTCTGCGACAAACTTGGCTTTTGCACATTTCAGGGAATCTGACTCGTTCGCATTCTACTGCTCAGGCAGGCTCTAAAGTTTTTATAGAGATTGAGACATCTGCTGCACAAGAATCCACTTGTCCCTCTTGTGCAAACCGAGTGTGCCTGTGGAACCCTACACTGCATGTTTTGGTCTGCTTGGTGAAGCATTAGTTTTTCAGTTACCATGCTGTCATGCTGACCATAGCCAGTTCTAACAGCACTGCTTCTTGAATGAGAGGCTGAAAGGTATTTAAATTTAGGGGGAAACAAGTGGTGATAGCACCTGTGAAGTTTGGTTTTCTTGCTGCTGAATTTGTGGCATACATCCATTACTGCTTTTTATCTCCTGTTCTGGTCAGCGCTTTGGCTGTACCATGGGATTAGCTGTCTGCAAGCCCCTTGGGTCTCTCCTTTTACCGGGGCTGCTGATACTTTTTGTAATCAGCCTAAAATGGTCTCTTCATGTTGCTGCCTTATCTCTTAAGGGCTTGAAATCCTTGCTTCAGCGTCTTTCAGCAAAAACAGGGAAGACAGAACTCCCGTTTCTAAGGTACAGAAACTCATCAGAGACTCCTTTGCTCACCCTTACCATCAAAAAGATGCAAAAAGGGCATTTATATCACTGTCTTCAGTAGGTGTGCTTTGATCTAAGTGATGGCACTTGGAGCAAGTGCCTGACAATTATTTGTAGTGCTGGTGAGTCTTGTTATTTGAGACTTCTTACCCTGCCTAATTTCAGCTCCAAAAAGAGAGCAGGGATACAAGAAGTTGTCAGAGTCAGTGTGTAAATGCCTTCTCTTGGCTGCTGTGGCTTGATCCAGTGTGTGCTGAAGGTCTCAAAACAATATTGTAACTGAGTTAATAGCCATCATTTCATTCTGGTCCCTCCTTTCGTCAGCCCACGCTGGACCAGACGCGCTCCAGAGCTCATGGAAAAATAGGATGGGCGGTCTTCCATGGAGGTGATGTTAATGTGTGCTGAGCGTGCATGCAGGCGGGCTGGGGGCAGTGATTAATGCCCTGGGAATCTGCTCTCTGCCTTGCTGCACAACGCTGTTGTGTCAGGCCCAGAGCTTGGCACCGGGCGGGCTGCGGTCGGGCGCCAGGAACGTTACCTAGTTTGTGCAGGATCCGGCAGCGAGACAGACACAGCGTGTTCTCAGCAGGGCGAGTTCGCCGCTGCAGCTTCATACTTGCACAGTGAGGCTCTCTTTGGATGCGGGGCTGCTGCTAGGCGGGGGCAGGAGTCCTGCGCTTCGCAGTCCTGACCTCCGCCAGCGTGAAGCCCCAGTGTTTGTGCAGTTGTGGAGGAGCCCTCCCTCCCTCCGTCCCTCCCTTCCCCAGCAGGCAGGGATCACCCATCCTTGAAGTGAGAGGGGATGGTGCTTGGCCGGCGTCAGGAGCCCTGACTCACTGGGGATCACAGGCGGAGCCCAGCTCTCCCTGCAATCTGCTCTTCCTGCTGGAGCCTCTGCGCAAGCTGTTGCTGAATATTTGTTTTCACTAGATCGAGGGTGGATCTGGAAGAAGCTCGGGTCCACCATTAAGCCTGGAGAGTTGGACTCAGTAAGTTTTCGGTCTGGAAGATGCTGGGAGGGTTCCTTCTCTAGGTGGGGGTTTGGAGAAAAAGTTGGCAGGCAGCACTCCATGGAGTGAGACAAGGCTAAGGTCCTGGAAAACATAATATTTTGTGTTCAATTCATGTTATGGAGCAAGTGGATCCCACAAGACTGACTCACTGCTTTCGAATACAGGGGCATACTGTCTAGACCCAGATGGAGTCAGGGAGTGATCCTGCTCTTCTCAGTGCTGCTGAGGGAACCTGAGCTTGTTGGGATTCTTTTTTTGGCAGTTTCAGAAGTTACTTCATGCTTTCTTACCTCATGGGCTGGCTCTCAGAATGCTGTTCACATTAATACGTTAGTGCCCATGTTTGATTATAACTGCAATTAGTATATACATGGTGAAACAACTGCAATCCTGCCTGCCCCTCTCGATCTTCTTTCTCAGTGGAAAATCTCGTCCATTTTAATGAATGAGTCCCCAGAGCTGCAGGTGAGTTAAGGAAGGAACACGGCTGTGTTCATGGGGAGGATCTGAGCCCCAGGCAGCGGGAGGGCTGTACCCTCAGCCCCAGTGACTGCAGCAAAGCCAGGGTTTGGGTCTGCAGCACACGTGCGGTATTCCTTGCACTTCTCAGCCCACTCTTATATTACACCTTTGACAGAAGAAATGCAAGAAATCTCATTGTACCATCATGTGCTCCTCTAGAAACTACCCCGAGGCAGCAGTTATGCCTGGAATACTTTTCCCCCCCTTTGTCCAGTCCGACTGTGAAGTTTGCATGTTCAGAGTATGGCAGCGATTCCTAGGACCCTGAGCTCAGTGGTGCTCTGTGCCGCGGCGTCGGCAGCCGGTCTGCGGGGTGGAGAGCAGCCCTGGGCACCTGCAAGGTGCTGCTGCTGCTGCGCCTGTCGCTGCTGCTCTCCTCTTGCATCAGGGCATGCAGCAGCGTGTCCCAGCCACCCCACCTCAAACAGCACAAGGCTCCTTCCTTGTCTTCAGTATTTCCAAGCTAATTGATAGCTCTTCCATCTTTTTCCCTGCTCCACATGGTCATGTTTTTCATACTGTGACTCCTTCTGCCTCAGTAGGTTCCCGCAACCCTCAACTGCAGCTCTTTGTGCTGCTGATTCACTCCAGTCCATTCATCTTTTTGGTGGCAAAGTGCTGTCGGCTGCTGGATATTGGGCTCTTTGTTTGTACAGCCAGCACAACGCTGGTGACAAAGGGACAGCCTGTGCCCCAAGGAGCCCACGTGCTACGGGGAAGGCAGTGCTGTTCCTGCCGAGCACAAACCCGCTTTGTTCCCGGGAGGTGAGTCGGGTTGGATAAACAGAGCAGCCCCGTCAGCAGAAAGCCTTTCCCTGGCTGATCCCCCACTGGCACTCCCGATGGAAGTTGACTGTACCTCGTCAGCAGGGATGTTTTTCTCCTCCCTGTGTTAGCGTCCCCTCTTCCCGACCCTCGGGGGCTCAGGTGGGCTGTGCACGGCTGTGTGGAGAAACGGGTGTGTTTGCTGTGGGTGGTGGTGCGTGTCGTCACCGTGCTTGTTCTGCTGTTAGCTAGGCAGGACGGTTTGACAAGCAGTGCTGAGTACGGGACGGGTGTCGCTGGCTGGGCAGCACTGGGAGGGTGGCTGCTCACCGTGCACATAGGGCGCTTTGGGACGGAGGAGGCTGGGTCCCGTTGCAGGGAAATGGACGGTGCAGGGACTCTGCTTGTGATTTGGGAGGAAAGCAGCCTGTGCCGGGGGGCTGGTGGGGAGGGTGCTGACGTCCCAGCATCGCGAAGGGCAGAACTCTGAAAGCACCTTGGAGTGGTGTCGGCAGTGCTCTGCCCATCATCGCAGTGGGACAGGAAAATGAAGGGAAGCATTGACCAGTCTGAGCTGCAGATCTGAGGATAATCTTAGGGTTCCTGGTTGCCTTGGGCAGATGCACCTTTCAGTTCCTCTTCTGAGGATCTGAGAAGAGGGGAAGCAGCAGCTGCAGGGCTGCCGCTGCCTCAGCACAGTGTATTGCCTTGATGGTGAGGCTGCCTGATGCAAAGCAAAGATGACGCAGAAGAGTGTCCCAGCTCAGCAGCCACTTCCAGAGAAAGGGGGAATGTTGCTGGGTGTAGGATGTAGCCCTTGATGAGGACATCTTTGTCTGCCTTCGGGTCCCCTGCCAGGGGGGATTTCAGCCTTGGCTCCCAGAGCCTTGGAGAGAGTCTGCACCCTCATCTCAGCCTGGGTTCTGCCAAGAGCCGTGGTGAGGCCTCCCAGGGGATGGCTGAGCCTGGTACCTAGAAGGCAGAAGGGGCATTTCCAGCCAGGTCTGAGAATGCCTAGGTTGGTCAGGCCAGGCAGAGGGAGGAAGCGTTCGCTGGTGGGGAAGAGGATGGTGGGGTGAGCTTGCCCGGGTGGACTTTATGCCTCTCCGCTTACTGAGCAGAAGTATGACACTGCTTCAGCACACAGTTCCTGTGGCGCTGAGCAGTGGCGCCGGGAGGGGGACGCGTGTGCCTGTCCCTGTTCTGCCGGGCAGTGTGTGGTGGGACTGCGTGAGTGGTGCTGTCTGCCCACCCAGCCCTGGCAGGCTCAGGGCCCTGCTCTCCGTGGCAGGGAAGCGCTGAGCTTCCTCCCCTCCTCTTGCGTCCTTCCTGACAGGAATTCACATCCAATTTTCTTGCTGCTTCTCCCCCTGTTGCAGCACAAACACATGTCCCCGCAGAGACAGCCAGAGAGGCTGGACAAGGCAGGTTGGACCACGGGGGCTGTGTTGCTGGAGACCCCTGGCCCCTGCAGCAACAAGCACTGAAGCATGGCAAGGGGTTTCAGGGAGCTCGGGACAGGACCCTTACGCTGTTCCCGCCTCTCACGCTCAGGGAGGGCTTTTCTTTCTGAGCTTATATGTGATAATTTCAGGTGTTTCTGGCTGCTAACGGACTTCCTGCTTGTCTCAGCCTTAGGTACTGATCCACCTTCAGACCCCGTGCAATGGAGGCTGGCTCTGTGGTACGAGCAGTCTTTGATTTCTGTCCCAGCGTCTCTGAAGAGCTGCCCCTCTTCGTGGGAGATGTCATCGAGGTGCTGGCCGTGGTGGACGAGTTCTGGCTCCTTGGCAAGAAGGAAAATGTCACAGGTAAGAGCTGGAAATGTCTGCACCTGGATCTACAGATGTGCCAGGTAACTGTCCACCCTGTGAGCACACCTTCCGTTGGCCAGTGCTATGCAGGATCAGATATGTTTTACCAAACCTTTCACAGAACTTTGCTTGGGACTGAGGGTGCAGGTTCCTTACCACTGGTCTCCTGCCAGCTTTGTGTCAACTGTTCAGATGGCTTGTTTGTTGTTTTCTGAGAGGAATTTGTGGAGTGTCAGTTCTCAAGGAGATGCGAGCTTCACAATACTAGTTGCTCCGTCCTCTGTGGTGGGACAGCCCATTTCCTGGCTAGTTTATGCACTGACTCGTGGCAGTGGAAAGGGAGAGAGGAAACAGATGCACTGAGAATGGAAATGCATCCACATCCAAGTGACCCTGTCAGGTCAAGTCAGTGGGAGACGCAGTGACAGAGTCTGAGTGTCCCCTGGAGCCCTCTGACTCAGCCCCACTTCCTTCTTTCTGCTTTAAAGCATTTTTCTGCACAAGCCACCATCGATATCTGGATGCCTCAAGTGGTGCGCAAGTCTGTTACGCTTTTGCAGGGGTATGAAAAACTTCTGAAGCAGCAAAATGCTCTTAGTGAAAGTCTGTAGTCCCTTTTCAAGCAGCTCTTTCTCATCTGAATACTGGGTGCATGAGCTCTCAGGGAGATGAAGACCAGGCCACTTCAAAGCATAAGCCTGACTCTGTCCTCAGCATGAGAGTGGGACTGGAGTTTTATCCCTGGCCACGGAGATGGGGCTGCTATTGCAGCAGCAGTCTGGGCTCTGCTAACTGCCACGGGCTGTCTCCTGGTTGAAACAGAGATGGGCAGGAGCAAAGGTGGAGAGGAGGACTTCTCTCCTATGCTCCACATAGCTGATAAATGGCATTGAATGAGCGTGTGCCTGATCCTGGGGCTGCTGAAGTCACTGGACACAGATTACTACTGCAGAAATCACTACAATTTTGTCTCCCAGCATAACTGATGCGCTTGTTGCCTAGAAGTTGAAGCTATTAAGGAATAATAAACAGATGTGTGTTGTAGCTTAAAGATAAAGAAACATGCTGAAGTCAAACCAAATGATTTTTAATGACCTTTAACTCAAAGCCCACTTGCGTTCCTGCTTTCTCTTAGAACAGCTGTTGTAGTTTTCCACCCAGTTTTCTAAGCCAAAGTTGTAGGAGATTGAAAAAGTGCTTTTGAATAGAAGCTGTGGAGGTACTGCAGCTTACCAGTAACAATACTCTGTGAGGAATAATTAATGTAGCTCCATGACTTCCTTTCTAACAGCACTGGGTTGTTTCCATGTACAGAGCAGGAGACTAAGACATGGGAAAAGAGGTAGGGTTGGTTAAAACTGTGAAGGAAGCCACTGAGGCTAGTGGCCTGTGGGCAGCTGGTTGCACCTCATGTTAATGACAGCAGATGCCAAACTGCCTAAATCCAATGCAAAGTTCTCAATGTCTAGGATATGGCGTCTCCAAGTTCTACTGGAGTATGTATGTGGATGCCATGCTGGGTCATGAAGAGTGAATGCTGGAGGTGCTACTGGCCCATACTCCAACATATCTCCTTGCCACAAATTATAAAAGATAGGAATGACATTTTTAGTGGCCTTTGCAGTGGCCTCTGCCACGTCCTGTGCTCCCAGGACTGAAATTAGTAGCCGAGCAGTATCTTGTGGTGGCCAACAAGTGTACACTGCCCTGTGTGGCTGTGGCCTGTTCAGAATAGTTGGGCATCCAGCAATGGGTGTCATGGTGAAACAGGCACACAGAGGGGATAAAGTGGGGAAGGTCCCTGGAGCCTCAGCAGCGCTGAAGCTGTGACAGAGCCTGTGACTCGTAGGCATGGCCGTCCCGAGTGTAGTGGCCTGAATTCCATGCTAAGGCCACACAGGGGCCAAGCCTTGGCAGAGTAAGGAGCACCAGGTGGATGTGCCCAGTCACAAGGCACTGGTCTCGTGGTCCAGCACTACTGGACCTCTCAGTCCTCATCATGGCTCTGAGTTGGGAAGTAAGCAATGAAAGCAAAGAAAACATAGTATGTCTGTTCCCACAAACTCCATGCTGATGGCACAGTCCCAATGAACACAGCCTGTTGGTTGCCTGGAGTGAGCCGAGGGCACAAAGCTTTTTGTTCTCTGTTATCTCTTAAGCATTTAAAACCTCAGGAATTCCTGACTCCCAAACTCGTTCCTCTTCCACCATGCTACTGAAGGACCCTGGGTAGCTCATTATTTTGCTTTAGCAAGAGACTAATAGATCCCAAAATCTGGAAGGAGGGTGAAGGGAGTGATGGTGGGCTACAGGAAAGACTCATTGCTGACAACTGCTTCTCATTTTAGGGCAGTTTCCTAGCAGCTTTGTGGAACCTGTGGATATTCCCCGTTTGAAGCAGGGAGAGAAACTCTTTGTTTGTACCAGTGACTTCACATCTCAAGAGCCAGGGAGCTTGTCATTGCAGAGAGGTAATCTCCATTCCCTTCCTTTGCTGTGTGCCTCACAGCCCTCGCCTGTCCTTCCAGAAGCATAAACCTAGTCACAGCATCCTGCCTAGAGTAGCAGGAGAGACAGGGAGTTTCCTAATACCTCATTATGTCAAATCCACCATGGACCTTTGGGCTTCTGCCACTCTGATACCGGTTTCTCATGATCTGTCGTTGCTCTTGAAACTCCAAAAGCTGGAATCATCTGGTCCTGGTAAACTTAGAGCTGCCTTTTCATTGCTTTCCAGTCCCCAAACCTTACACTTGCACCTGGGGGAGAAATCAAAGCTTTGGTGCACCTTCATGGCTTTGCAGCCAAAACTGTGTATCTTAGATATGTGTGCGCAAAAGGTTGCCAATGCTTCATGCCTTACCTCTATTCTGTGCTCTTGTGCATCCCCAACACACACTACGCTCTGTGCAGAGTGCCAGACCTCACCCGCAGCCAGGAGGCAGACAGAGAGGCAGGAATAAGCGGTGGGAAGCAATCATGAGGGCAGTTTTGAACTGGTGTGTCTCATTCCCTGCAGGAGACCTGGTGATCCTGGGAGGGTCCGTGGCCTCCAGCTGGCTCCAGGGCCGAAGCAGCTGGGGTTCCAAGGGCTTCTTCCCCTCGTCATGTGTGCGGGAGCTGTGCCTTTCATTTTGGAGCTGTCAGCTGTCCCAGAGTGCTCTCCTGGAGGTGCCTGCCTACTCACTGGGTCAAGCCCGGGCCCTGATGGACCTGTCTGCTCAGCTGGAGGAGGAGCTGGACTTCAGGGAAGGGGATGTGATCAACATTGTTGGTGTCCCAGAGCCTGGATGGTTCGAGGGCGAGCTCAGAGGCCACAGGGGCATCTTCCCAGAGGGTTTTGTAGAACTGCTTACTCCTCTGCGAGCACCAGGAACCTCAGTGGACCCAGAGCCCACAGGGACTTGTGACACCAATGGGACAGTGGAGATGCCCCACAAGGAGGAGGAGGAGCCAGGCAGCACTTACGGTGTTGCCCTCTATCAGTTCCAAGCCCTGGAGTCCAAGGAACTGGATTTTGATGTGGGTGACAGGATTCGGATTGTAGGCATTCTGGAGGATGGATGGCTGGAGGGGGAGCTGAGGGGGAAACGCGGCATCTTTCCACACAGATTTGTGAGGCTGGAAGCCTCTGAGGCTTGCAGAGAAAAGGCGGATGGTGGGGATCCCCAAGGTGGAGGTAGCTGCGGAGTGACCATCCATCAAGAGCTGGAAAGCACCAGCTCTGCAGCTCTTC